CTAACGAGTGACACTGCCCAGGTGTTTATGGCTTGTATCAAGTTTCCACCGTTCAACTTCGAGCGGGCAACTTTTTTAACGCGTCGTAAGTATTCTTTCCTGATTTTGTCCTTCATTTGGTCATGAAGCATGTCGCTGGCCTCAAGCACTCCTAGATACTTATTATTATTATTTTTATTATTATTATTATTGATCTCGTTCCCAGGGTCTCTCGTCTCCCCCCCCCCCCCCCCCCCCCCCCNCCCTCCCGGAGCGACAGAGTTACGGGTAGCGTAAACATTTCGCTAGCATTCATATCGGATTACCTATACTATTCCCATATCTGCACTCTACTTTTGGGGTTGAGTTGATTAAATAGATCTGAACATGGTAAACCGAAGAATTCAATGACAAAATATATTTGAATCGATTGTTACGTCTCGGCTTCAAAATCTTCGTTCGCAATGGAACAAAATCCGGACAAAATTGAACAGACTTCTAAGCCCGGACATCACTATCGACGCAAGCCTAAGCATAGCATAAGCGGAAGGCTCATGCTTATACTTATGACTAGGCCAGAAATATTGGCCGGAAATATTGGCGTTGTACACTGACATATCAGCTGGGGATCAATAATAGGAACTCAATGTTTGAGAAGATTTAGACTTCGACCAACCCCTCTTTTCTCTTGATCCGCCGGACGTGATGCAAAACATGGAACGCGAGAGAAGTAAAATGAACGCGAGCGCGAGGGCACAGGGTAGAAATTATAGTCATTTTCCCTCTTGCCTTGCGTTAATTCGTGCCCTGGTGTCACCCTTAGCGACGCCCATTACCAGCCGCTGTTCGCGAAAAGAGCCCGTGCTCCTCCCCCAAAGCCGAAGTTCTTCTCGGGGGGGAATGTAAACCAGACACCCCTGACCAGACAGGGGAGTGCGGTGGAAATCGAGTCACCGTCGACGGAGTAAGAAGAAGAAATAAACAACAAAAAGTACATTCTTTCGTAAAATTCAAAATTTCCCAAGTAACCTCTCCAATTTGTCTGTTATTTATTTAAGTTAGAATATCAATATATTTTTAACCAGTAACATTTTCGTTTATTGCTAACAATATCTCCTCAATTAGTAAACTTTCAGTAGCTAATTGTTTAAATTACGTGGCGTCTTTTGGGTCTTTTTATTGATTTGTAATTAACATGGGATCTGACAAAACGTCACTTTGTTTTGCAGATATAAGGTGATCCTGTAACAGCGACAGACCCTACCGCTATACCGGGGGACGGTCAAACAATCTGCAAGAAGATCAGAATAAAAAACGACGGAGTTTAATTAAATTTTCGTACTGTAGTCTTCAATAAAATTTTTATTTCTGTATTAATTTTATACGCTCGGTGAATTCTTACGAACGCAGCACGGCCTTGATCTGAAATCAAGTCTTGATGATGGCCAATAAGACACTTAACTGTTCCCTTGGATTTTTTGTTTTTCCACCCGACCGCAAAAGCCACAATTGTATTAGTTTCAGGGTGTCTTTATGGACGGGTTTTATTGTCTATTAGCTATCTCAATTTAAACCAAATTAGCATAATTGAAAATGTGCTGATTTCTGTATGTCATGTGTATATCCATTCGGACTGCATCAAATTACTTTTCGTCTTCTCATAGTTTTCACTCAACAACGCAATCGTATCGAATTTGTTTGGAGTAACAGGCCGTCATCAAAAATTGAACCAACATGGCTTCCCAAATCGTGCTGATCTCTGGTTGTTCTAGCGGCATAGGACTCGCTACAGCGGTGTTGCTCGCTAAAGATGCTGACAAACGCTTCAAGGTTTACGCCACCATGAGAAATCTAGCGAAGAAAGGGCAACTGGAGGAAGAAGGAAAGGACTGTCTTGGAGACACATTGATTATCAAACAGATGGACGTGTGTAGTGATGAATCAGTCGAGAAAGCTGTAAAAGAAGTGCTGGACGCTGAGGGAAGGATTGATGTGTTATGTGAGTATATCGCGGTCCTCGAGAGAATTGTTATGTGTCATTGAACACGTTGTGAATAGCCATATATTCTTTTTATAATTGTAAAACAAAACCATCATTTTGACCCTTAGAGCACTCCAGATTTTATTAGATGCGAACATATGTCCAACCCTGATATTCCTTTTAAATCACTGAATTTAACTCATTTTTTGCCATTTAAAAACGTTTTGAATAAGGGCCCTAAATCTTCACGAGTATGCTTGATTAACGAACTCTCTGGGTGGTTTAAAGGTCTTTTAAAATGATTGATTTTAGTGTTACACGGAATAGAAAAGAAACCATTAATTAAAACCGCCCATTCCCAAGCAGATAACTATACAAGTAGTGCAAGCAATGTTACCAGCTAAGCTCAGTGTTTTTGCCTCGCTAATGGGAGACCGAGGCGATCGGGGTAAGCGAAATCAGATCTGAGATTTCCTGATACTCGTGATTACGATTATCAGCGTATTGTCAGAACTAACGTCTTTTGGAAAGAAGACAATAACTCACTTGAGTAAACAAACCAGTGACACGGAAAGAAGGTCAGTAATGCAAATTTAGAGGTTTTTCGAATTTTTTTAAAAATATAGAAGATGTTAAAAATATAACACAAACAGCGGAGATAAACATTGTCCTGCGATGCATTTTTATGTTAATTAAACTTGACGTTTCGTATGCAGAGAAACAGACATTTTCAAAAGTGATAATATAATTATTAGAGGTGAGTAACCAAGACTGAGGAAAACGAAGTTAAAAATGAAAATGCCTTGATTTACAATGCTTATCACCCCTGTTTGTGTTATATATATATATATTTTATACCAAACTATATTGTTTCGCGTTTTCATGCGTTCTCCTACTGAGAGCTTTTTCCGCAATTTGGCCGCGCGCAAATGCAGACGTATTTCCGGCTGTCACTTGTTTCCGGAAATACATCTGCGTTCACAGGTGGAGCGAGAGCGAAAACGTCGACCAAGCAGGGAGTGGTGGTGCTCCCCCTTCTATCTTCTGCCTCGTCGATTTTTTGCTCTTTCTCCAATTTGCGCTTGACCAGAATGTGGAAGAAGCTCTTCGTACAGGAACGTTTGCTACGCAGGCTACTTTTTATGCAGAAGAGTTTGGCGTTAAAATCACATATTTACGTGGCCTTTGAATTCTGTATCGAAACATCGGGCCCGTTTCTTTTATTTTTCTCGGTAAAATTACGCCTATCCCGACGCAGCTAAAATATCATTGGCTTCCTCTCTTGTATTCAATTGCAGTTAACAATGCTGGTATAGGTGGCATGTTCACCGTGGTAGAATGTACTCCGATGGCCCTGGCCAAAGAGCTGTTTGAAGTGAACTACTTTGGAGCCCTTCGGTTAATCCAAGCTGTGCTGCCCAACATGAAAGCGAGGCAAAGTGGACACATCATCAGCAACAGTAGTACTATGGGAGTTGTTGGCACACCTTTCAATGAACTCTACTGTTCAACTAAGTTCGCCCTTGAAGGACTGAGCGAAGCTTTGGCCCCTACTCTGCTCCATTTTAATATCAGGTGAATTGTTCACAATCTTTAACAGTTAAAATCTCGTTACCTCGGCAACCAGGGCTTTTAGCCGTTTCTAACTAGGTAGATTCTCACAAGGAAGAGATAAAAACCCAATCTGACAAAGGAACTGAGAAAACAGTCAGGGAACTAGGTAGAACAGAGTTCCTCATTTCGTTATCGTTCACTGGCTATTTCTTAAACCTAGAAGCATTGATAGTCTTGTGGGAGACATGTTCGCCCCTCTCCGGCAAGAGATCTGGTAACTAGTAGCTAGATTAGCATGGCTTTGACTACTGCTGTTTGATTGTTTTTATAGGTGCACGATACTCGAGACAGGCCCCACAGCGACCCTAGGGCCTGAAAACTCTAAAGCCTTTCTAGCGAAATTTAAATTGTCGGAAGCTGACCAAAAGACCAAAGAACTGCTGGAAACGTTTTCAGGAAGAATGTATCATTTGTTCATTAGCACGATGCAAAGTCCAGATGAGATTGCAGAAGTCGTAAGGGAGGTCATACTTAATGAGAAACCAAACCTACGCTATCAAACAAATGAAAAATACAACCCAGAAGAAATCAAGGAAAAACTTGTTGATCCAACAGGAAATGCTTTGGTTCAAATGGTCAAGAAAACATTCCTCGATGAAGAATAACTTGTTGCACAAGCAGAGGAATTTTAAATTTCAGTAATCATAGGTAATCTGTTTTGGTCAGTCAGTTAACCTGTCGTTTAGTGGAACGCGCGAAATAAAAATGTGAATGAGAGAAGCAAAAAGAGAAAGACTAAGCATGCTCGATTTCGGCCGCTCACTCGAGCCCGGTCTAGTCGTTATCACATGAGTTCCGGGGAAGAGGGAGCGCGGGCTCCTTTCTCGAACAGCGGTCGGCAATCGAACCCTAGGGGGTGGGGTGGGAGTTTGGCTTAAGGAAAAAGCTGTTGAGAAAGTCGTCGTCAGGTATCGGTCTCCTGGCATTCGCCGGGTTTATATCTAACAAGAGTCAGTTTGGAGATTTCACACTGGATAGACAGCTTTACAGATAGTCGTGTGGTTTAACTGTGGTTTAATCTCAGACATGATTCTACCCAAGAATGGAATAACTTGAAGGTACGAACGAAGATGTCTACGCACGTTTATTTCGTCCGCTCCACTATACTACAGCTTGAGGGTCATAGTGTCTTGATAGCTGCTTGTTTAGATATTATTCTAGATAGGAACATATTATGCTTAAATATTAAAACTTCCCTGGTCTCCAATCATGTACAATGGAGTGTTTCAATTTCATAAAAGGGATTCACGAGAGAAGGGTAGTGGTACAAGGTGATAATAAAAAGGAAAACAATTTCTTGCTTCCTGTTGGCTTCAATTCCTGCCTGTTGTGGCCCTGCTTTCAGCATAGTGTATGGAGAGTAATGCGAACGCACAAAACTGCTGGAGATATTGTGTACACCTATCGTGATGTCCACTGCCTGAACTGCCAAATGGAGTCTCCTGTCCCATCAACAATACTGTTCCGGTCCGGGTTTGAGGAATGCGGAGATGTTTATCCCACAGTTTGGGTACGTGCTTGTTCCACAACTGACCGCGGAACCGGAGAGAATTCACTGGTGAGAGTCACTCACGTCACGAAAATGCACTATAGCCCTGCCGAAAACACGGCTCCCCAAATCGTGCTGATCTCTCTGACTGTCATTTGGAGATGTCACAACTTCTGCTTTCCTAGTTGCTTTGATTGTCACGACCTTGAATCTTCTGACGAAAAGGAAATACCACGCAATGCATCGATCGCGTCTCATTCGTGAGTGCTTTTTACCATGCGTCATTAAATTCCAATGCTTAAAGTATTCTGAGTTCTTTTGGCCACGTAACAAAATCACCTTCAAATTGAGGGAAACCTGAAAATAGTAGTTTACTAAGATAAAAAACACCAAAGAGATAATAATCAACCGCAAAGGAACAAGGTTGGTTAAGGATGGAGAAGATTTACACGGATTACAAACGAAGAACTTGAAAAAATTAAGCGAAACTTTTCAAGAAAGGCAAACTGTGACGTAGCTCCTTTAAACTGGAAAGGTACACTTGGAAGAGTAATCTTCTCACTTCACGTCTCCCAGCAGTTCAAATACCGTGCTAGCTCGATCAAACACCCGGTGTCCAATGCGGAGTTTTAAATATAGATACCCCGCCCCCTGAAGGAGTTGAGGACCTATAACTCCTGTCCCCTCATGCATTTATTCATGGTTTATAAGCTTAACGCTAGGTATAATGACAAGTTAAATGATTGACATTGTGGACCAGTGAACCGGAAACTGTATTGGTCTGAGTTTCGCGGTTTTAAGAGACCTTTTTATACTCTTA